TTTCAAACCCCAAGTAATGTACCTCTGATAATACCTATGGTAGACCTACCTGTTGCAGGGACATGTGCTTGACTTTGTTTATATTCAGTACGATCTGATTCCTGGTAACGGTCTGTTTAAGTTTCATATGTTTAGATCTCCATAGGGTTAGAAGATGCTGATACTGAATTTCGAGCCTGTCAAAAAACAATTTTACAACAAATTATTTGAATGAAAAAAGGTTTAAAATGAATGAAGTAAAAAAAGTATTCCTTGATATCTAAAAGTGTTCACTTGCACTATTTACTACTGTCAAATAAATCATTGTATCAATTACAGTAAGTACTGTAGAGAGGGAAAATATTCACTTTGTTTAACCTTTCCACTACTAGACTTTGTCTGTACTTTTTTCTTATATTTTTCAATATTTCTGGAAGTGAACTCTAATTTTGGAGCCAACAAACAAAATTTGAGTTAATTTTTACTTTTTACTCAAAAAAATTGGCTACTTCTGTTCCAAACTTCTGAAGGAAAGTGCAGGTTATAAACAGGGCTATTTTTTGTCTTTGTGATGAAAAGAGGGAACACTAGTGGTGAAAAGGTAAATTTTAGTGGATTTGATGTTGCAACAAAATTCACTGGTTTTGTTAAAGGGACAATGCATTCTATTGTTGAATATTCATTTGGTTATAATTTGGCTGTTGGTGAAAGAAGTAAAAATAAAACTACATATACATGCTCTGGTACATGTTCAGTATCTGCTGCCCTCTAGAGCCTGTTTTGGAAATATACTGCCCTCTAGTGATAAGTTGTTGTTTTCTAAAGCTTCTGGTGGCTAGTTTTCTGATTATTTGTTTTCTCTGGCAGGTTGTTGTTTGGGAACACAGCAGGATGGAAAAACTTGGAAACTTAAGCTCACCTGGAAATGTACTCCATAGCTTCTCTGTTTGGTGGGGGTAGCAGAAAACAAACTCCTGGAATGGTAGCCTCTTGTCCAACACTGGTTATTATCTTCCATTTTGTTTTATGGTGTTGTCCAGTAATACACACTCCTCCCCTCGTTGAACGCAAATCTGTTGACAGAAAAGTTAGTGAAATATTTGACTTAATATGGTGCATATTTATATTTTGAAAAAATCACTAAAAAAGTTAAATCAAAACAGATTAATGGCCATTATTGTAAAATATCACATTTGTTGCAAGCATATCTCTGATAGCATTGTACTCAAACCAAAAAAACAATTTTCTGCATGCTAGACCAAACAAATTTGGATAACACATAATTTATGTAATGCATGGAACTACTAATAGAACAAATCTGATGGGTGGGTTATACTTTTTAATCGGGTTAATAATTTATGAACTTTATTAACTCAGCAGGTTCTGTATCATGTTATGACTGTCATCAATAATCACCACCAGTTCCCTCTTTTCATCACAAATTCACAAAATAGTCCCACTTATAGTTTGCTCTATCCTTCAGAAAATTGGGGACAAAAATAGACAATTTTTTCAGTAAAAATTTTGTCTGTTGGCTTCAAAATTAGGGTTCATTTTTCAGAAATATAATGACATTTAAAAAAAAAAGTGCAGAAACATTTGGGCGAGAAAGACTGGTGGTGAAAGGGTTAATAGAAGGTCATAGAATTCATAAAATCATAGATGAGTAACTTTCCCAACTGACGTTTTTTAATAATTATGTCATTTACTCATTCTTAGTAAGTAGGTAAGTACAAAACCAGAATAAAATACAAAAAAGCTTTCAATAAAAAAAGTAGTCTTTTTGATTGACAATAGACAAATCAGCAACAGCTGAAAAGAATATCAGTGACCCTCAATGTTTGGGATCATTTCAAAATAGATTATTGTAACAAATTTAAGACAAATCTGTAAAATATTTTAGCTGGGATTTATTTTTG